ATATTTTGCTTCACATCCGACCCGCTTGGTCACGACTATTCGCTAGAACTACAGGCGACTTTGGCTTGTAGTCAGTCACTAATGAGCATCAGATTGATTTTGAAGTTGTAAGCTTATTGGCATTTAATTGGTCTCTAGTTTAATCACAGAGTGACATCATTTACAGAACAGTATTCGATATAGCTGTTTCGTCCTAGTTTTGGAATCTTCAGTAGTAGACACCCAAAATCACACAGTGAGTTGAACACATAAACTTCAGGTTATGAGACGAGTTCATTGAGGATTCCTTCACTGAGACGAAAAACCAATACCTCATGAATTGTCTGTCTGTCTGTCTGGATTCAACGTAGAACTTGGCACCGAAGTGCAGCAGTTCGAGTTGCCACGTTCCAAATAGCACACAGAGGTAGACAAGAAGATGAGTGAAGAGAATTAATAGAGTTTGACAAGTATAAGAGTGAAACAGAATGGGTAATGGTAGAAAGGAATATGAAAGATTACAGAGACTGAATACATCTGCGCCATTGACAACGATTTTGAGCCATGTCACCTATTGTCTCCAGCCATTGATTCCTAGAGTCCCGCGGGCCCCAACCCGGGAGTCTGCATCTCCCTACCTGACTCAGTTTAACTGTCAAGGATTTCATGGATTGATGAGGCCATGTTTTTGTTTGGCCACCACTGGCTCTTTTCCAACCTGAACCTATATCAGCTAGCAAAGCCCGTCGGGGGAGGCGGTGGTTAGGCATGCGCAGCACGTGACCTAGCCATCTCAGTCTATGTAACTTTATAGCCTCGTCGATTGATTTTCCCTCTTTGCCCAACACTCTACGCCTAACATCAACATTACTTATCTTGTGAAACCACCTAACGTGAGACAGAGATCGCAGACATCTATGACCGAAAGCAGTCAACCTTTTCATGTCTTCAACGCGTATTGGCCATGTTTCAGAGCCATAGAGAAGGACGGAGCGAACTGATGAGCAGTACACACGTCCCTTGGTTGATAGCCGGATGTCACGCCTACGCCAGAGATGGTGTAAGTCAGCGAAAGCAGCTCGAGCTTTTCGGATCCGTGCTGAGATTTCATCGCCAATCAATCCGTTGGTGCTAATACAACTTCCCAAGTAGGTGAAGTGGTCAACATGTTCTATCACTTCCCTCCCTATCACTAAGTTAGGGGTTGACGTGGTCCAGTCCTGTAGCAGCATCTTACATTTTGCAGGGGCGAATCGCATGCCAAACATACGAAGATTGCTGCTCAAGGTGTTCAGAAGACTCTGCATTTTTTCATGAATTGTAACTTCTGCCATGGGTGTGTACTGTTGAAGAGCCCCAAACTTGGGGGAAAACAACTGTCCGGCACACCCTGGTTTTCATTGGTTCTGTAACTGGTATCAGTCAGTGATGGAACTTGTAACGGATTAAGTCTCTTAAAAACTAGTACTTATAAAGTTGTTATATATGTATATATATTTGTTGTGCATAACCTATGATATAAATGTATTCACTTTTTTTTCCTTCACATTCCCCAGTGGAACATAGGGCCTCAAGCTAGTGGCTTGAAGTTTCTGTAGAAGCGGTGGTTATTTTTACAGGATAGGGTTGTTAGCCTCATGCCCAACCTTTCCTCTTTACCAGGATTATTTCTGGCTTAGTGAGGTAAGGGAGGAGTGCGTCCAGTGGCTGGGATCGAACCCCGGACCATGTACATGGCCGGCGAGCGTCCTAACCGCTATGCTATCGACGCACTAATGTATTCAATAAACGAAATAATACATAATTTGTCCATTAGAATTCAGTAAACTTGTGTATAACTTGAATTTATTGCTAAATTCACTAGAGATAGAGAGAGAGTGTTAGTGATTAGGTACCAAAATAACTGATTATTGTCTATACAAAACAGTAAGTGTAAACCGTTATCTATTCACATTCAGTAATTAAGCTATAAGACGAATACAAAATGTATACACAGCCACAACCACAAGAATAACATACTCGGTCATTATTCGGGTGCGTGATTATTCATGTGTTGTAGACTTTTGTGAAAAAACAATAAGAGAACGAATCTAATTGAAATTTCTAATGATAAACAATTAGGTGTATCTATCTATCTATATAATTTTCGTTGCTATTGTTATTCTAATTGTCGTTTAATTTGCATAAAATAGTTTTTTTAAAAAAAAACGGAGCTCTCTGTGTCTGTATGTGTGTGTGTGTGTGTGAATTGCAATGGATATACACTCAGGGTGTTTCTCAAAACATATTTTTTGTTATGAAATCGTTCTTTTTTTTCATTCCTTCTAATGTTTCAAAAGAAATGATCTTTGTTCACTGTTTTAATGTCGTCCTCCTTTTTTCTCTCTCTCTCTCCCTCTTATAAAAAAATTATAAAAGATTGAATTACTTTATCTGATATAAATAAAGAGTTAAGGAGATATGTTCAGAGTAGTAGTCTTTGAGACTAAAGTATACACATTGTGATGAATTTAAGAAATATGAGGTTAGTTATTTAGTTAATTAATTAGAACTCAGTTACTCAGAAAAGTCTTTCAATGTGTCATATTATGAGCAGTACTTTGTGTGTGTGTGTGGGGGGGGGAGGTGGGTGGGTGGCGCGGATTAATAATACTACCCAGCGGGTCTGAATTCGAACCTGAGGTCTATTGGCTGAAAGACAATAGGTATTGTAAGAACAGTTTGTTTCTGATGACAAGCTGCTTTTATTTGTAATAGTTTGACCATTGTGATCAAAGCGAGTTCCTGGATCAGCTTAGCCTGAAAAGGGTTCTTTATTATTATTATTTCATTTAATTCCTAGAGGAACATAGGGCTTCAGCCGCACGTCTCAATTGTGTTCGGTTCTCTGCCAACGTTTTCATCTGGCTCCATCTCTGCTCACACGCCTTCATCTCCTCTTCACATGACATCCTCCAAGTCACCCTTGCACTGACGACCAACTCACCGCTTCCCTTTCGGGTTACACTCGAGAGCTTCTTTTTCCTACAAACTGTTAAATATTTTCGTAGACATTCATATACATTGCCTTAAATACTTAAAAAAACATTTTCAGATTTCAGAAGGCTCTTTATGTATGGGGAGGTGGATTGTTAATACAGGTGTCGAATATAAGATAATGTTTCAGGTTTGGTCTTGACTTGACTCCCAGGTTAAAGGTAGGCTGTGAACTGTCTGAGTATGCAAACGGCTAAATTGACATGCAAAGTTGCCTTAGCTCTAATGGACCGATTGTTGACGGAATCTCACCTCAGTTACAAAATGTTTGTGTGGTATTTGTCAACTGATGTTATCTCTGGTATTAGAGATGATATCTGGCTTTCGACCAGTTCACTGGTCGGCCATTAAAAATGGAAGATATTTAGAGGCTGTCTATCATAGATGTTTGAGTCCTATGATTCTGGTATAATACGGTGAGTAATATTGAAGTTAACAGTAGAATATTACGTAAGGCGGGAAAATAAATCGATGAGATTGTGAAGGTACAATGATTGAGGTGGCTAGGACATGTGTTTTGCACACTGAGACGAATTAATGTTACCTGACATAAGATTACGTTGGTAAAGGTTAGATATACTTAAACCACAAACCTGAGATCTATCTGTGAACATTTTTACTGTCCGTTTGAGAGACACATAGGAGTCCTCGAGATGCTACGAAACACTGGCTGGCGACTTTTGGTGATGTAGGTGAAAATCATTCACAATGACCTGCAGATCCATTAACTCTTTGTAGTCTCCCATATTCATTAAATTCTGGTGTTTTTAGATGTCATTTATTCTCTTGTACATTTCTGTTCACTGCACTGATTTATTGCTGTGCAATATTCAACGTTGAAATTCACTCAGTCAGTCGATATATTTAAAGGAGTGCATCAACGCATACACTCACGCACACTGGATACCGTATTGTAAATATGAGTGATTGTGGGTTTATATTGGAACTCTGTGACTATAAAGACTTCCATTATTAGTTGAAGGATTTAATCATGAGTCGACGTCAGTTAGAGAACCAACCAACCAACCAATCAAACAAAATTCCCTACAAAACCAATACTTGAAAACTTCCATTATTAGTTTGATGAAAATTTCTTCATCAATTACCTCCAGCCTATATGTTAGACACTTCGATTATTTGGTAACATGATCATGAGCTGACATTGGTTAGAGAACCATTGGAAAATCCGGGAGTACTGGATAGCTGTTTTGTCTTAGTTCGGTACTCTTCAGCAGTGCGCACTCACCGAGGTTCGAACATAGGACTTTCCGGTTACAAGGCGAGCTCGTAGACCACTAAGCCACTGGGACCCGATCCAATGGCCAGCGCATGAATTCTAACTTCTGCCAATTCACGATATAGCGCAACCGCTAAACGATGTCTTCGGCGAGTATTTGTCCTCACACCCGACCTGCTTCACCCTACTGGTCACGACTTCTCACTAGAACCCCAGGTAACTGCTTGCCTGAATAGGGCTAGTCGCTAGTGAGCATCTCAAACTAGGACGAAACAGCTGTCCAGTACTCCCGGGTTTTCCAATGGTTCTCTAACCAATGTTAGCTCATGGTGAAAGCCTGTAACCAGTCAACCAAATCCCTCCAAATAATACTTAAATATTTTGATTGTATGTCATCAATGTTCTGGTTTTTCAATTATTTTGAAGATCACTCACATTTCATACAAAAGGGAAAGTTGTTATTCATACCACACAGTTTAATTTATTGAAGACATGCTATAAATGATATCGTCTTCTCATTAGTGTTTAAAAGTTGACAATCTTTGACATTAGACTCATTAACTGTAAAAAGGTACGCGATTTCCAAGTTTTTTTTTTATCTATTCATATGGCTTCTTTTTATTTGCATACTACTAAAAGCTTCGAGAATGGAATAAATTGAAAAAAAAGTGAAGCCTAATTCTTGTTCATTGATTATTATAGTGATAACTTGTAACTAATAATTGTTTGAAAATTTTATTTTTTTTAGTCCATTACAAGAAGTAATTCAATCCCTGAATCTCGTCAGTCCATGAAACATCATTCTTCAGGAAATCATGAATATAATCTTACCAGAGGCAGTAGTTTAAATGATGAGTAAGTTTACTATCTTTCCTACATTTAAAATATTTCCATTTTCTTTAATGTACATGTATATTTAGTTATATATAATGTCGATAGGATATCTTGCATTGATGTTGGACATTCAAGTCGTTATTTAGGCGTATGTTATTGTGTTGTACTATGACAAGTGTTACGTAGCCGTAAACAAGTCGGCAAAATGAATATGTGACAAAATGTCACACAAACTAGTGAATTATTTTTGGGTGTGTGTTTAAATGTCGTGAGAATTTCTTATCCGTGTTTATAAATCTTTTGGTAAACAGCGTTGCGATCGTTATTCATAAGTATTACTCTTATACTAATTGAGTCCTTCTAGTTCCCACTCTTACTGTCGTTATTAAACAAGATTGTGTTTTTGGGTACAATAACCTCAAAATGTGGAAGTTCATGGTTTTTTTTTAAGTAAACAAGCATTTACAGCGATGACTGGATCTACGTTTCGTTGGTGTAGATCCTCCAACTTTTAAATCACACGCAACGAGTTTCTACGCCGCTCCATATATCTATCTATCAGTGTTACGGCTAGATTGTACCATGAATTGTGAGACAGTTTGCTTGATTCATTGATAAATGTATGAACGTAGAGTTGGTTGATGAATTTATACACCTTTTCTTCTATCTGATTATATAATAATGATAATAATAATAATAATAATAATAATAATAATGACTTACTTTATTCCAAAAACAGTACTTGTGATACAGAATGGAATTTTCAGCATTAATCACAATATTGCATCTAATTTCCTCAAATTATAAATAAAATTAATCACACAGAAAATCCTCCACATTTACAATAGGGGTAATGTCGAAAACATGCAGCATATAAAATGGAAATAATAATAATGATAACAGCTAAGGTAATAATAATACAAGTGAAAATTGCCGTGGGCTTGTTTCACACAGTATTGGCAATGTGGTATAGAAATCCTAACATATTTAAAAATATTGAATATAATGTTCTCTTTACATGATATGGTGAAGGGAAAAACAAAGATTGCAGCCGTCATGGAGATACGTTGGTGTTTGCAATTATGAGAGTAAAACAGAGAAGTAACAGGACCATAAATATAATAGAAATAATAAAAGTAAAACTTGAAGGTATATAAGGATGGATGGATGGAGGAAATTGTTTATTTACTAGATGAAAAAAGGTTAGTTAGTTAATTCTTGCCTGACACTATTTTCATCACATAAAATACGTGCCAAGTATGGTATCATAGAATTTTTATACTTAGACGTGCGAGCATACAGTTCTTTGAAGTTACTTCTTGTTCTGTCTAAGGAGATACAAGGTGAAAGCTGAGGGTAAAGTGGATGCTCCAAATCAGACAGAATCCCTCTAGCAAATTTATTGCACGAAGTCAAGTGCCTATCGACAACGATGTTAAGTATGTGGTCCACTGAGACACTACTCACCCTACTGACAGTCTTCAGCATTCTGTGATTTGTGACATAGTCCTTGTTAAGCAAACCAGGGAAGAATAAGGGTGAACAATAAAGAAGAATAGGTAAGATGCAAGAGTTTATGAACTGTAAGAGAAGGGGTTGAGTTATACCCGAGTGCCTTAACTTCTTAATGTAAAATGTCAGGCGGAATATTTTACTGGAGATCGCTAAGACATGGGAAGACCATGAGAGATCAGAAGAGAGAATAAGTCCAAGATACTTAATTTCTGATTTAATTCGGATATTGATGGTACGATTATCTGAGATACTCTTGATTTGGCTGTCAGTTATCAATATAATGGGTGATAGATGGTTGGAAACGAAAACTAAAGTGTTAGTCACCGCTTCGGTAGCCTCCAGATCACTACCTACTGGATCTCTTAGTTCTGCGCCGGTAGAATTCTGATACGTCAACTCAACTTTAAAAAATTGGTTAGATATTTGTTCTCCCCCCGGACACCCCCGCTCCCCGCCATATTCTTATCTTATGAAATACAAATTAAGGATTTACAGAGCCATGTATTTAAATGTATATTCACCATAACAACAGCAAATTCATTCGAATCAAACTATGAAAATGCCTAGGTATATTAAATGTGGAGGTGTAGGGTTACGTGGATTATCTACAAATACCAAAGATAATCGGAAGAAATTTGAAGTGAGAGTGCGAGAAGGTAACTGATGTTACTGTGTGCCAGTCGTTGCTGTTGTCAGTGGCCACCTCGTGATCGGTAAACTATTCTCTATATATATTTAACACTCATGTTTTTATTGCAATGTGAGTATTCTCCTCTACTTTCTTCCTTTTCTATTCAGAGATCAGCCTGGATCTGAGCTGTCTTCTTATCCAACATCGTCATCAACAACAAAAGGAGGAGAAAAAGAAAAGAATAATTCTTTCAATCCACAACAACCAGTTACATCAGAATCTGTTGATAAACAATCTGAGTTAGAGGCTAAATTACAAGAAGTAGGTTGTTTGATGAAGTTTTCTGCTTTTATACCATCATTACTTGTTATGATACACAGTTGACTTTTCTTTTTCTATCATATTTGTATTTAGTGCAGTCCCAGTGGAGTATTTCATCTTCTTACCAGAAACAAACTTTTACACGTAAAATGAAATTGAGTGAGGTAATTGACTGAGGGTAGATATGAAACAGTAACTGCCTCATCTAACGGTCTGTTGTTTTAAAGGATTGACAAAATATAAGGCGTACTTTCAGTGGACACTAAGCACGGGACTATTGTCATGCCTGCCTAGTCTTTAGTATTGGTGTGGACTGAATTCTATCATTCAAGTTTGCAGTGTGACCACAAAGCTAGATGGTTGGTTATAACGGTGCTCTCTAAATTATTGTTAGTTGGTTGGAGACAGTCGATAGGATGTCTCGGACTTGGGTTTCGTGCTTGTTGGCCACTCGTTACGAAGGCGCACCGATAAACTTGAAGGAACTCATGTCCCTTCTATGATTTGAATCAGTGCCACCGAGTTCTGCAGCCCGAATAGTGATAATGTCTCTAACAGAGAACCGCTGGGTGACATGGGTTCGAATCACAGAAGGGACCTGAGTTCCTTCATGATTGCAGATACGCCATGCTAATGAGTGTTGACAGGCACGAAATCTAGTTCTAAGGCTTCATACCGATTGCCTGCAACCATCTAGCGAGATAATACATAGCTGGATAGATAGTATGTTGATAAGTAGATAGTTACATGTCGTTCATTCACATTATGATTGGGTATTATCTTTGTTGACAGGTGTGGGTAGCTCTGGTAGGTGGTTAGTAGAGCTATAGGACTATTAGTTCGGATACAGATGTTATAAATCCTGCTGCAACCCAAAACTTCATTTCACCTTCAACCATCCCCTTTTTATACAGTATAATAATATGCTTATTTGCCAAAAAACACCAATAATAGGAAAAATAAACTAAAAATCATTTTAATTTATTTGTCTAATTTATTTTACTGTGTTGCAAATCAATTTGTTTGACCTCCAAAAACAAAAAACAAGTCGTTTTTGAATCGATTTAATATCTACTTGAACTAGGTATTGAGATTTTTTTCCGTTAATGCTTTCCTAATCATTATGCTTGATCTCCCCTTTAGCTAATGAACACATGAACTTGATTTCAAGGAAATAAAAGAAAGTTGTACAACATTCATTTCATTCTTTTCCTTTAATTCTCCTTTTAAATGTTTTTCTTTTTCCTTGAACCAGAGGTAATTAGCTAGTGTTCTTTACGCTTTGTTATTCTTCAAAGGGTGAATAATTCAGTTGACCAAACTTTGATGATATGAAATAGGTTGTGTAATGGCTGTGAACTAGTCACAACTAGTGAATCTGGAGTGCTTTGGTTTTTATTCCAGTGTAACTTAAATCCTCATTTCACTTTTAGTCATCAGTGGTAGAATTCTCGTCAGTCCCACACGTGTAGTTCACCTAGTTCCTAGTGAACTAGCTGATAGTGGCTTCCGCGCAAAAGGGAAGATTGGGAAGGAGGCTGACTACTGACCTCACCTCGTAAAAGCAAACACTACCGCTAGTGAAACTTAAAAAGCTCGAGGGTCTGTATTCCATTTGGGATTGAAAACGTGAAGAAAAAAATCTACACGTAGAATCCCAATAAATTAACTTAAAGCTTCACTTGAAATTGTCCTTAGCATACCTATAGGATTTGATGTGGTAACTGTTAATGAGTGTTGAATCACTATGTTTAGTTTTGTACGGAGAAACAAAACATCCAGAGAGTAATAATTATCATTTAGGTTTCTCATTCCAAGATTTCTGTCGTTACGCTTGTCAGCTGGAAAGTCGATGTTATTAGCTGCTCATCCTGTCTGTTAAGCTGTGGCGAATTGGTCTAGTTGCTCAAATTTCAGCATTTGGAGCAATTCCCGAGGTTTAGGCACCCACGTAGTATCACTAGCTCTTACACATTAGGCGTGGCTCATTGTTAACTGCATGGAAATACAGTCAACGGTAAGCATTTTAGTTTTCAAGAGTTAGTTTGTAGGCATTTCATTTATTTCAGGTTTGATCAAGAGGTGACGTCAGTTAGAGGACCATTGGAAGACTGAGGAGTCCTGGGCAGTTGTTTTGTTCTAGTTTGAGACTCTTCGTCAGTTCTCACCCACCAGGGTTCGAACTCAGCACCGTTTGGTTTCGTGGTGAGGTCGTTGGTTATTCAGTTATCTAGGTTCGAATCCAATTGTCCATAAATTCGAACTTCTGTCATTTGCGATATGTATAGCGCAACCTTCAGCCAATGTCAAGCTGAGTAATTTTTCTCTTACCTAACTTGCTGGACGCTGTTGGTCACGATTCTCCACTAGATTTCCAGGTGACCTCATGTATAAAGCCAGCCGGTAGTGAGCACCAAGTCAGGTGGGAGAACACATACACGCCGATGTCATTGGGTTGTCGTCGCATTAAAATCACGAATTAGTAGAAGTTAGAGTCCTTGGGCCCCATCGGTTGGATGGTCTACGAGCCTTTTTATTGGAAGGTCCTAAGTTAGAACCTTGGCGGGTGGGTGCGTACTGATGAGGAGTCCCAAATCAGCATGAAAAAACTGGCAGATAATCTCCATCTTCTAATAACGCTATCCAGGTTTCATCAGTACTAAATTTATCAACATTTTGCAAAGCACACTGTAGACAGGAACATCTGTGTGAAATCAAGTTCTATGGTAGTAGTAATAACAATGATTTATAATAAATATAGGTTTACATTCATATATGATAAATACCATTATTTATTATTACCGCTCTTAAGTTATTACCTGATTATGTTGCTATAGTAACAATAAGGACCAATCAAATGTACTTGATTGATACTCTAAAACTAACCTATTTGTTTTACCAATATTATTATAATTATTAAAATTGTGATTATCAACCGTAACAATAATAATAATAATAATTATTATTATTATTATCATTATAAATCTTAATCAATTGCTACAGCTTTTGTATATAACAATGAAAAATTAATTGTCGCGTTTTATTCAACCAAGGAATAAATAAGATTGCGATCAAACTTCGTTTTGTTCACATCTATCAAATCAAGTTCATTTTAAGTTCAATATTACATAAAACTACTACTATTCATTTCTCTTAGTTTTGTCTCATAATATAATACCTAATTAAGTATATGCTACACAATATAAAAGCGTATTACTTATATAAACTGTAATATATATATATATATATCTTTCGTCTATGCAAATATTGATTTCTCTTGGTTAGGTTTATCAATTTAAACAAAGGAAAATATCGTTTATTCAACGAATAAAGAAATAAGTAATGCCTTAAAATAGGCCTTAGATGATTCATCCATTTGAGACCTGTGTGTGTATAGTCAATGTAGACTAATTATAATTTTGTATCAATGTGGATATATTTTCGTTTTTATCTGGTGTGTTACTTTTGTTTTCAATGCCTAGTCACACTTATTACCCTGGATATTAGATACTATTCTGTCTGGTCTCTATAGCATTATATTAATTACATTCATATTAAATGATTGGAAGCCTTGAACCTAGGTGTCTCGTGCTATTTGGCACTCATCAGAGTAAAAAGAGAACCAATCGCTCAACAAATATGCAGGAGAAAGTGGAGATGGATTGGACACTCGCTGAGGAGGCCACTGGGTGACATCGCGCGTCAGGCCATTGTTCGAGGGAACCCGAAAGGGAAGCGGCGAGTGGGACGTCCAATGGTGACATGGAGGAGATCGTGTGAAGAGGAGTTGAAACAGTATGGACTAACATGGATGCAAGAAAAAAGTACAGCAGAAGACAGAAGCAAGTGGAGACGTGCAGTTGAACCCCTATGTTCCACTAGGAACCCAAGGGAACAACAATAATAATAGTCCACAAAGCGTATCTGCAACCGTGAAGGAACTCATGTCCCCTGTGGGATTCGAATCCGCGTTACCCAGTGCTTCAGGCAGAGGTGTTCGAATCTCAGAAGGCACATGAGTTCCTTCAAGGTTGCAGATACGCCTTGCAAACTGACTGGTGGGGTGCCAACTAACATGAAGCCTAGGTCCAATTAAGGCTTCCTGTGGCCGATTGCCTTCAACCATCGAATACCAACAATTCCCAGTGCACCGTGATGGGTAGCTACCTTGCATGCTGACCACATTGTAAACTGATAGAATTCAGTCTGCACCAAACAAAGGACTAGACACATTACACTAGTAACTAACTAGTATCCAATCAAAAGTAACTTCATGGATATTGAATCGATACAGTTGAATATTCTGAATCGGTGGAGGAGAAGTCTGGCTTTCTTTCAGAGGATCTTGATTTCGAGTCTTGTTCAACCAATTTCAATTGGAGATGGAGGGGTGGGGAGGAGTTAAGTGAGCGGTATTGTCAACTCTTACCCTACATGTGTGTGGTTCTTAGCCCGGTTTATGATAAATAAGCATTTTTAACTAGCTAAATGCCATCTTATGGTGTATTTTTAAAACATAAACCAGTGTCTAAAACATCCTTTTGGCTGGATAAACGTGTTCAATGAAACCTGAAAATAGGTGATATGTATGCTACTGTGCCATAGAATACTGTATTTAATTAGGGCATAACATTTTCATTATGAGAATTGGCATGTGTAAATCTCCTTAAACTTTATTGAATTCACTGGGTTCACTGTTTCGTAGAATCCTTCTCTGTTGACTGAGGTTCTATCGTTTTTGATTTTCATCTAAGTTATAACGTTAACGATTTGGTCTCAATACGATTCAGTATAGATTTTAATGCTTTCTAGGGGAAATAGCACTGATAGGTTATTATTATTCCCTTCGCTTCTGAGTGGAACATGCACCCTCAACGATACATCTTCACTTTCTTCAATTCTCTGCTCTCCTCTTCAGCTGTGCCCACGATTATGCATAATCTGTCATCTCCTCCTCACCACACGATCTCCTCCATGTCACCCTCGCATTGACGACCTAC